GCATCTAGCGATCTACCTGCTCCCCCTAGTTATTTCTTTCCTCTTCTCTTTTTTAGGTTGCTGTTATCTGCCTGCGCTAGGCTCGCTGGCCACTAGGGCCGGCCTCTATTCGGTGTCTATCTCTTCTTTTTGCCTCAGGCCCTCGCTCTTTGCTCGGTTGCATCCGGCTGTTCCCAATGAATAGACACCTACGTATTCTATCTTGAAACGTCCGTGGTTTGGGTCGCCCGGACAAATGTAATGATGTGAAATCGGCTTTGTTAAGCAATCCCTCTGCGGTTATTTGTTTGCAAGAGACCAAGCTCCAGGTCATAGACACTTTTAAAGCCATCACCTTTCTTCCGCCTATGTCTAGGAATTTTCACTTCTGTCCATCTCTTGGAGCCTCGGGCGGACTGCTCACTTCTTGGGATGGCGACTCCATCATTTGCACTAAAAACCACTCTGACATCTTCTCTCTAACTTGCTGGTTCGAGTTCAGGGCGACTGACCTATCCTATGTGGTAACTAATGTCTACGGCCCTTGTGATCACTCGCTAAAACCTGCTTTTCTCAACTCCTTATCTACTCTCAAGACGATGATCTCCGGCCCCTGGACTATCATCGGCGACTTTAACTTGACCCTCCGCCCTTCCGAGAGATTGAACGCGAACTTTAATCATGCCGAGGCAACAATGTTTTCTTCCTCGATTCAATCATTGCAGCTGCAAGATCTTCCTCTACTCGATCGCCTCTACACTTGGTCCAATCAACAAGACAATCCCATTTTGGTTAAGCTAGACCGTGCCTTAGTCAACGTTCCTTGGTCCCAAACATTCCCGGACTCCTCGCTAATTTCTTGCTCTCGGACTACCTCCGACCATGTGCCTATCTGCCTGTCGGCATCCACGTTGATTCCTAAATCTAGAGTGTTCCGCTTGAACAACAACTTACTACACCATCCCCTTTTCCAAGACTTGGTGAAGAGGAACTGGTCTAGCGTCACACACAGCCATCTGGACCCTGCGGGCAAGATTTGCCTTAAAATTAAGAGGACTCGATGTATGGCTAAGAAATGGGCTTTCAACGCTAAATCTCCCAAAACCATTGCAAAAAACTGCACAACCACCATCAATTTTCTAGACAAACTAGAGGAGTCGCGTTGTTTATCTCCGCTAGAGCTTCAACTTCGCGTAGCGGCTAAGCTCTCCCTTCACCGTCACAATAAAATTTTGGCCATCTATTGGAGTCAGCGCGCAAAAGTTAGAGAGTGCACTCTTAGCGACGAAAACTCCGCTTACCTACACGCCTGCGCCTCTGTCCGATTCCGCAAGAATCAGATCAAGTCCCTATTGGTGGAGGGATCGAACTTCTATTCCCACCATCAGAAAGAAAAAATCCTTCTAAACTTCTTCAAAAACCTGGTGGGAACCCCTGCTGCATCCTCTATCAACTTTGATCTACCTAGTCTAGTGGCCTCGTCTGCCCTCTCCTCCCTTGATGCGGTCAGTCTCATCCGGCCTTTCTCTCTATGCGAAATTAAAACCGCTCTTTGGGGCATGAATGACAACGCCAGCCCGGGACCGGATGGCTTTGGCCCTGCCTTCTTTAAAGCCAACTGGGATTTGGTTAAAAATGACCTTCTCAATCTGCTGCACGGGTTCCACAGCTGCTCCGCGGATCTTAAATGGATCAACAAAGCTTTCATAGTTCTAATCCCCAAGAAAATTGGCGCCAATGAACCAGGGAGCTACCGCCCTGTGTCCCTGCAAAATTGCGCTATAAAAATCACCTCCAAATGCCTCTCTAATCGGACTCAACCTTTCATCAATCATATGATCCATCATGACCAATCTGGTTTTGTCCGGGGTAGAGGGATCGCAGACAATTTCACGCATGCTGCAGATATCGTCCAGTCTTGCTTCAAGCGCAAAAAGGCTGCTATTGTTCTGAAACTAGATTTCCAAAAAGCCTTTGATTCAATATCTTGGGAGGCTATCACGGCCGTCTTGCAGGCAAAAGGTTTCCCCCCTCTTTGGTGCTCCTAGATAGATCAACTAAACAGATCGAGCCAGTCCTCTGTGCTCCTAAACTGGACCCCTAGGCCCTGGTTTCACTACAAAAAAGGACTGCGCCAGGGCGACTCCATGTCCCCATACCTATTTATCCTCATCGCCGACATTCTTCAGCGTCTTATTCTGCACGCTTCGGCTTCGGGGCTCCTTCTGCATCCTCTAGACAGCTCTCTCCCATGCCCAGTCCTTCAGTACGCTGATGATACTCTAATTATCCTTCAGGCTAGCTTGGAGCAATTAATTCACCTCAAATCAATTCTACTAGAATTCTCGGCCGCCACCGGGCTACAGATAAATTTTCACAAGAGCACCTTCGCCCCTATTCATGTGGATGATGCTCTCGCCTCCTCTATGGCTGCGGTGCTGGGCTGCCCTGTGGCCTCCTTCCCTCAAAGCTATCTGGGCCTACCTCTATCCACCCACAAGCTTAACCTATCGGCTTTTTTCTTCATCATAGACAAAGTGGATCGGAGACTCGCTGGATGGCGGGGCCTGCTCCTTTCCTTAGCCGGTAGGGCCATCCTAGTGTGGGCGGTCCTACGTGCCCTCCCACTCTATGCGATGTCTTCCCTTCTGCTTCCTCTAGGTACAATCCAGGCCATCGATAGTCGCTGCCGGGCTTTCTTCTGGGCAGGACAAGATACGATCTCTGGGGGTCAGTGTAAAGTTGCGTGGGATGCGGTCTGTGCCCCCTTCTCTCGTGGGGGTCTTGGGTTTCTGTCGTTGCATCAATTCAATCAGTGTCTTCTCCTCAAACATTTGCTCAAAATTCACTCACACTGCATAACCTCTGAGCCAAACCACCTGGCCTCCACATATGGTTGGAGCCACCACCGTGACCTCGGCGACCCAGCTCGTCTTGACACTGTCATCTGGCGCGACATAGTATAGGGTCTCCCTCTGCTCCGTGCCATCACCAGGGTAATCCCTGCCCCCTAGCGATGGTCGCTCCACGGCATTCTGGCTAGACTTATGGATCCCTAACCACACCACCACTCTAGCGGCTCAGTTCCCGGCCATTTTTCCCCACACTCTTAGACCTAACGCTTCCGTTGCAGCTGTTCTAGCCCACCCACAACTAAACACCTACCTTGCCCCTCGACTCTCGCATGCTGCAGAGAGAGACCTCGAATCTATCCGCTCTATTCTTGCCATGTTTTCCTTGAATGAACAGGTACCTAACCGGAGAATCAGCAGGCTCGAAGGTAAACCTCTGACCACGTCCTTCGCTTACGGGGCTCTATGGATGGACCGGCCGATGGATCCGATGGCGCCTGCAATCTGGAAGAACTATGCGCCAAACAAGTGCCGGCTGTTCCTATGGCTAGCGCACAAAGACAGGCTCTACACCAACGATCGAAGATTTAGGAGGGGCATTGCGTCCACGGCCTCTTGCCCCTTCTGTAACAACTCCGAGTCTATCAACCACCTGCTTTTCACGTGTGCTCAAACTCGTCAGATTTGGGCTGAGCTCAACTCTCTCTACCATACTACGCCCAACTCCATTGCAACATGTTGGGGCTCACTGGTGAATGACAAAGTCCGATCTACGGTGATCATCGCTATCCTATGGAATATCTGGAAGCGAAGAAATGCTAAAGTATTCAGAGCTGAAACACAGGATGCGTACAAGCTGCTCCGCGCCTGCGCGGACGATCTCATGCTATGGTCTAATAGATGCTCCTCCGAGCTAAAGAAGTCTCTTCTCCTAGAGTGGAGATCAATGGTGTTGCTCTTAGCTGGGATAATGTAACTTTTCTGTTTTTTTCCCATCACCTTCCCCCTTCTCTCACCTTGTACCTCCTCTTCACCTGGTTGTAAGTTTCACGTTGATTAATATATACGTTCAGGCCGGCGTAAGCCCGCCGTTGCAGCGTCAAAAGAAAGAAAATTTACGGAGATGTTGTATACGTTCCTAGGTTCATTTGTATTCTCTTTCAGAGAATTTGGAACTTGAAAACACATTTCTGCCTGATCTAAAAACTATAGAGCGCCCATTTGTATTCTCTTTCAGAGAATTTGAAACTTGAAAACACATTTCTGCCTGATCTAAAAAATATAGAGCGCCCATTTGTATTCTCTTTCAGAGAATTTGGAACTTGAAAATACATTTCTGCCTTTTCCAAAATCATGGGCTCTGATCAAAAAAAAAAGCAAATCGCCCACCGTGGGGCTCGAACCCACGACCACAAGGTTAAGAGCCTTGCGCTCTACCAACTGAGCTAGACGGGCTTTGTGTCACTTGCATCATTCGTCTCTATATATCCAAAATAGAACAAAAGCCCTCCTCCACCTACTCAGCAGAATGATTACCTTTTTTTAAGCTGGAAATATCTTTCCATTCCTTGACCTCGCTCAGCGCTCAGCAGAATCACCAAAGCATACATGGAGTCAGGGACTCGTTCCTTTCCATCAGGATATCATTAGCTCGACGGAATCATTCATGCATTATATGCTAGACACATATAGACGCCTCAGTGGTCAGTGGGAAGTCGCAAAGGCAACATCGAAACTTATCGCGCAGAGGCACAAACGGCGAAAGGTGGGCAGCCTTGCCGCCAGCCCACCAGGAACACAAAACCGTATGCTTGTGCCCACAGGTAGTGCCAATAATTCCACAACCGTTTCCCGCAGCCAGCAGCGTCTGCGATTGCAACCCTACGAAAAAGGCAGGCGCTGTTTGTGATTGCTTCCGAATCATCTCCCTCTGGTGACACCTACCGCCTACCACCACCAGAGGAGATACTCCTAACAGATAAGTCCACACCGGATATCATCAAGAAACTCGGTGCCCCGCCCCCAATAATTGCAGCCCTCGCATATAAATACGCCCGGCCGTATCCATATGTATGCACACACACAGACATCTCACACGATCCAATTATATCCTGCTTAAAGAGGAAGGTAGCTAGCTAGGCTGCATCTTTCAGCTGCGCCTGGTCAAACATGGCTTCCATGGGGTTTAGCTATGCGCAGGTACATGTGCGGCAGGAGAAGGTCCGGCAGAGGATCAGCCAACAAGAAGCCGCCAACAACTCGACCGTGAAGAACAAGAACAAGAGTATCGGTGAAGAAGACAAGATCAGCAAGAAAAACTGCGACTCATGGGCCGCCGCCGGCAGGGTGCATCCGTGCGCATCTTCCACGGCGGCGGCGGCGGCTGGGCCGGTGCCGGAGAGGTGAGGCTGGCTGGCGATGAGTTTTCTCTTCAGGCCACAAGAGGCTTGATTCGAGAGTTTAGTTTGTGTTTGTGACTAGTCTTAGCTTCTCTCAATATTTCCTCAAGGGAATAAAGATGTATGCTAGTATGTTTGCTTGTCTCAATAGTGCCAATATTTCAACGACCAACAATCAAATATACTTCAGCCACAGTTATCTGATAGCTCGAAATCCCCACCTAAAATTGTTTCTGACAGGCCTGCCTGTCGACTAACAAAGAGACTCACTAGAAGATGCAGGACAGAGTATTTTTACATAGCCAGAGCCATGGTATCACCCTGTCTTCCAACTGGAATCTTACTACTGCGAAGAACCTAGCTACTGACTAAAAGTGCTTGATCCTGAACTTCCACTCCCCCTTCACGGCATCAAACGCCACGAATTCAGCGCCATTCTTCTCGGTCCATTGCGCCAGAATCTCCTTATACCTGTCGACTTCTGGACCTTCCGTCAACTGCAACCCGGTCTTCTTATCGACGCAATTCACATTCAGGAGGGTGATCTCTGCAGGCTTGTTGAGCTCCTGCCCCACAGGAGGTCTCTTGCTCTCATCTGTGTAGACCAGGATCTCGCGGTCCTTGAACTCTACGATGGAAGCGATGTCGAGCTTCCTCACATCGGTTTCTCCATCAAACTTGATGCTGCCATAGCCATGCCTGCCGACCGTGAAGTCCTTCACATGTGAGCAACAACCTGGCTCGTTGCTTTCTCGTGCAGCAAGCTCTGCGATAGACGGCGAGGTGTAATAGTCTGCCTTATAGAGCCGAGGAAGCACACTTTCACTCACAGGGGCACCACCAAATGGAGTTATCACAGGATCAAATGGATTACTCCTAGCCAGGACAGCACCGTTGATATACCCTTTCTGTTCCCCAGCGGATCCTGATGATGGTGAACAAGATGTCAGTAACTCAATGCATATATCGTATGGCAACACACAAAGCATGAAGTAGCTTTGGTTCTGAGATATCAAATATTTTGACATTTGGGCTCCACAAGTGCTAATGGAGAACTTGGGTTTGCTCCTAGGATTCTTCCTTGTAACGTGCCAGTGAAGAATTTCTTGAATAAAGTATTGCTAGAATGAAACAGTAAAAGCTTATTTGAATAAAATACTCCTAGGAATCTTCACTCTGACGATGCTAGTAAATTCTTTTGCTTATTAAAAATTATTAGCATGAAGCAACAAAAGCTTATTTCAATAAGTTTTCCCATGGGATAACAAAAGCCAAGTAGAACATGACAGTGGATCCATTTTATAGCAACAAAAGTATCTACAGTTAATGAGGAAAACAAAATATTGTTTACTCTGCTTGAACCTGCATCGACTCAAGTTTGTGATGCAATGTGAAATAGAAAAGACAAAAACACATCATGCTTATCAGAAGTCTCAAGAAAATCCGAGCCATATGAAAATTACTGCTACAAAAACATTGCAGTATCAAAAGTCTAGGAAAAATAATGTAGCATCGACCTATCAGAAGTCTACAGAACAAACTAGTACCGAAAGCTAAGAAACTGATACGATACCACTGATAAGTTCTGGAGTATCTACCTGTTGAACTAGATGGTTTCCTGTCATGCTGCTCCACTGATTGGATAGTTAGCTCTTGGTTCTCTCCAGGATAGATACAGAAAGACACTGGTGTTGCTGAAGCTTTAACATTATGATGAACCTATGCAAAAGGACATGTGGATTTCATTTATGGGGTACTCAAAATGGACAGATTCAATTTTTTTGGATGCAATAAAAAGCGACTGGGAGCATTTTATCTGAATATTCATGAGCCCAAACGTGTGAGCATATACGGCTTGAAACTGTTTGAAGAGGTCCACAAGATTTCATCTTACTGTGCAACACAATTCTGGGCTATGGAGATTTATTGCCATACCTCTGTAGCACGACTGCCAGTATCATCATTCCTTGGAGAAAATCTAATCCTTACAGTAGTAATGTCAACTGGTAGTACCAACTCCACAGTTTTCTCAGCTTGATCAATATTTATCTGGAAAGGACGACAATAATAAATCAGATAAAGAAACAAAAAGCCAGGAAATATAGCCATTCAGTGACACCTACAGTAGTGGAATGACCGTTTGGCGATGGAGCTGGTGCTGAATGGGCGACCGAAGAGCTGAGTAAACTTCCTCCAGATTGAGTAGATTTTGAAGGGAACAAATTTTGGCTAAACATATGGCCTTGCTGCTTCCATCAGAACAATTAATGAATGAGAACACATACCAACTCCTATGAATGAAATGCATCATGAAAGAATAATCTTCTTTAGGAATACTTACAGCAGAAGATGTATCTGCAGGAGCTGTACATGCTGCTGTGTTATTGGATACGTTTTCCCAACATGTAGTAGATGGTGCACAAGATGAGCTTGAAAACCATGATGGCTTGTGGATTGGCTCGGGAGGGTATGAGAATAATGGTGACTGGGGTCCTGGAGGGCGCAGCCAAAATGGGTTGGTGGTACCATGTGCTGAGGATTGCAGTCCCACAGGTGCTGAGGATGGCTCAGGAGAGTATGAAAACAATGATGGCTTGACAGGATTTGCGAAGGCATTCACTGGGGCCTGGGGCTGGGGCTGCGAGGAATGATAAGCCCAAGGAACTCTGCCCTCCTGTAAGTTGAAACCACCTGGGGAACACACAAAACTAGATTAGTAATAAGAACCACATAAACTAATAAAATAAGTACATAATGAAAAAACACAAGATTCAACAGTTATTAACCATCAGTTATCATATAAGGTCCACACACGTTCTTTGGCCCCAGATTGCAGCCAGGGCACCAAGAGCAGTACCGTGTTGCTTTAATAGAACTAGTCAAGTCCTTGCACATTAGGTTAGGTCTCTAGAGGATTGAAGATAAATTAGGAAGAAAATTAATTAAGTATTAGAGTAAATAGTACTCCCCCTCCGTTTCTAAATATAAGCCTTTTTAGTGATCTTGACCATCACAGCGACCTGCCGAGACCTCATAGAACTTATCAAAAATGTAAACAGGACAAAAAAGTCTAAGTGTTGGAAATACTCAATATCTTACCTTTGTCTCCTTTCTTATAATCTGCATGTCGAAGCTCCTCATGAGATTTGCTCTTGAATACTGGCATTGCTGAAATAGATACATAGTAATTACGTTCAGGATCATCACCAGGAGTCCTGGTATAAGCAGAAACCCTGCTGCCTTTTTTAGACACTCCTACATAAATAAGATGTGAAAAAAGAAACAGTGAGATAACATATAAAATCTCATAATAAGTCAACTCAAAGAAAGAAAATTTTACATCAAATTGAAAAAAAAAGGTACCAATAAGTCAACTAAACCTTGAACCAGCCGTATTCAAAGAAAAAGGTCAGACTCATTTGACCAGCGGTTTTCCCCAGTTTTAAAACTCTTATTTCAAAATAAGCTAACTACTTCAATTACTAATCACCATTGAAGGTGTATTGTTATTGTATAGAAGGCACTACTGCCCATAACAAATAGACCAAGTAGATCATGTAGAGACTTGCATGAATATTAGGATCAGATTACTGCATCACGTTTTGAGTCAATAAATCAAGAAATAGTAAGAAAAAAATGGTATTTAAAAGTGCGTTGACAAATTACAATGCACAGCCAAGTTTACATATTCAACTACTCCCTCCGATCCAAAACAAGTGACATGGTTTTAGTACAAATTTGAACTAAAACCACAAAAATTATTTTGGATCGGAGGGAGCATGTTTAATGATAGCAGCTGAAAATGTAAGAGACTGGGTCAGCTATAATTTGTGAATACATGATGAACTAAATGAAAAGCACAAAGAAACCACAAAACTTACGGCCAAAGGGCCCAAATGAAGGCTCAGATTGCACCCCAAAGGTAGGAACATGTGAATAATGTTGGCCTGTTGTAGCTGTACAAAGCAATATGAAATTAGTTTAGTCAAATCAGCTGTGCTGAGTAAACTTATGAGTAATGAAACCGTAGAAACCAAGGTTATGTTTGGGATTATATCTACTGCTGGAAATAGTGAAAGCAACATAGAAAACAGTGGCATTGCCAAATAGTTCAGAGAAGAAAAAAATACCCTAATGGTTTCACAAAGGAATATGACCACTGCATGCAGCAAACAATTTTGATTATGACAATTAATTTATTGATAAAATATCAGAATTGACTACATACATGCTCATGAATGGGTAGTTTTGTAAAAGAATATTCCTGTAGACTGTCATGGCTCTTGTGAATATGTCATGAAGAAAATAACGATCCAAAGAACATCATGGAGACCATGAACCAAAATGGCGTGCTCCTGGGAACAGAGTAGCACTTGCAGCCTACTATAGCTGTTTATATAGCGTCCATCTCCATTAAAAAACAGATCTTCCAAGAACTTACAAAAGACCCTGTAGTATCACCATACTGGTTTGGTTGACCTTATTACTGTCATACTGGATTGATTAGCCTCAGTATACATAGTTTCAAATTAGAGAAAATCAAAAGTCAATGCTAAATGAATACTTCCTACTATATATCAATCATAAGTCACGAGGAAAGAAAAAGATCAACTGTTAACCAAAAACGTCAAAAACCACCAATGGTGCTTCAGTAGTCAGAGTTAAATCTTAAATGCATCCTAGTATCGTACTGGAATTGTAATACTTGCACAATCTTGTTGTGCAGGACATTTGGCTAACAAATATCTTGGGTTATGAACTCAAGGAAAATTGTGTTCTCAGTTACACCATAAATATTTCACGTATTCATGAACTTACTCACGGATGCTACTTGATGGCATCGCCAGAAATTTTACTGTTCATCCAACACATGCACAGTCAAACAGGGGAAGACACTGCTAACAAATAGAATTCACATCTACCATTGTATTGAAAGAACCCATCCAATCTACTTCAGGATAACCAAATAGCAGACGATTAAATAAAATAGAGAATTGGTGGACAGAA